TATTGAAGATAGAAACAAATTTGATACAAAAGTTATTTGATTTTTGGAATATTTTGATAATACGTTTTTGTCAGTTGCGACCCTTTTGAAATTATTTTCTGGCCTGTCAGGCGTCGGCCTTTTTGCTGTTCAGGTCTCAGTCATTGTTTATTTGAGGTTTTTTAAAAATTTTATTTTTATGATAAGAGGAGAAATTTATTTCGCTTACTTCATACGCTCAAATTGACAATTTTAAAGACTATCAGCAATAACCTTCCTTGGGAAAATCACGTGAGATCAATTGCTAAAAGTGCATCCCAAAAACTAGGTTTCCTGTTTCGGGCCAGGAGCTATTTCACCTCCAGTCAGCTACTTATGATCTATGAGGCACAGATCCGACCTGTCCTGGAATACTGTTCCCATATTTGGAGTGCAGCACCCAAACATACCCTAAAACTGTTGGATTCAAACTCACTCACTTCTCTGGCACACCGTAGAAAAGTTGGCGATCTGGCTCTATTTTATAGATATTTTCATGGACGATGCTCTTCTGAAATATCAACAATTGTTCCTCCCTTGGCAGTCCCCGCGAGATTGACCCGTGGAGTTGAGGCTTCGCACCCCTTCGTGGTCACTTTGGATACCTGCAGAACATCTCTTTCCAAAGACTCGTTCATCCAACGAACAGCGAGGCTCTGGAACACATTGCCAAGGAGGGTGTTCCCCGAGGCATAAAACCTCCAGAAACTTAAGAAGAACACCAATTCCTACCTTATCTCCCTTGGTTCTCACGATGTTCTCTGAACATTACAGGATAACTGTTGGATATTTGAATCGAATATTTGAAATTTCTAGACTCATTTTGATCCAAGACCAAGACTATCAAGACCAAAACCAAGACTGAGCCAGTCTCGTCTAGGTCTTGAAGCATCAAGACCAATAACAAGACCAAGACTACATTTATTTCCGAGACCGATATTATGTACCTACATGATACAAATGATCGATGATTTGATTCGAAATAATACTCCCACAGTGATGAATTATTTGAGTTCCCTGGACCTCTGAATTTTCATTTTTGAGAGAAAATGTCATCAGCTTGTTATTAACCCCCTCAACCCCATCAGGATCCACTTGGAAACTTCAGTAATGGAACAACCATTTTTGAGATTTTGAAATTGAATCAATAGGAGGTTATTTGGGAACTTCGAAGTAGACGGCACTGGTGAAGTTGAAGGACATTCCAGCTATCAATATTTGTTGAGACATTATTTGCTGGGTGCTTCAACATTGTAATGTGCCTTCATTCTCAGTCTGGAAGAAGCACACTCAGGTACATTGTAACTAACCTCAGTCCTCACTCTGTATATATATATATTAGTATTCATGCATTCCGTATCATAAGCTCCAAATGTTCAATATCGAACATTATAGGAATTTCGTTCCGGGCGGTCCAACAAATAAAAAACAAATAGATGACGAATATATGACTCCCAACCACCCTAGTGACAACACACGGAAGCAATAGCGTCGGAGTATTATGATGATATGGAAGAACTGTTATTATAGGGATGAGGATAGTGTGTTTTCTAGAATTTTATCATAGAATGAACAAATATTCCATCCAGAGAAGAGCCATCCGCCTGGTGAGTGATGCCACACTCAGCACCAACTCTTTGATCCTATTAAAACACTGTAGAAGAGTCGGCGACCTTTCACTTTGCTATAGATACTTCCACGGAAAATGTTCCTCAGAAAACTCTGCTATAATTCCATCACTAGCAATACCAGTCAGACGACCTCGACAGACCAAGTCAGCACATCCCTTAGTCGTTAACCTTGAAAAATGTCGAACAAAACTCTACCAAAACTCCTTCGTCTATAGAACGGCGAAGCATTGGAATTCTTTGTTAATGAAAGTATTCCCAAGAACTTAAAGCCTCCAAAAGTTAAAACAACACTTACCTCCTCTCCCTATCCTCCATTTCGTGTGCTCTAAGAGATAAAAAATAAAAAGGTAAAAATGATGTCACTATCATCGACACATTTTCTTTGCAGATATTCAACAGATTTGGACAGCGATTGCTGCAAGAAATAAACTCTCGATATTGAATAGGGAAAAATTAAGTCTAATAGTGATGATTTGGCAGATCTGATGAGTGGCCATATAATATAATAAGGTGATAGATACCTACTTATCATATTTCTGAAGGATCCTTGCTCCTATAACTGTCAACAAATTCGATCGATTTTCTAATTAATGTATTACATGCAACGTGATGGTATTCGTGATTCAATCTCCTTCAAAATGATTTCACAAATTGATTTGGTAGTGCCAATGAAGATTGTATTTGATAGAAAAGTACTGCTCCTGATTTGCTATTTCAGTCAACTTTATGGCAGTGTAACGCGATTACAGGAAAAATAGTTGGGAACACAAAGGACAATATACCTTGTTGGGGATGCATTTTCTTTGTGGGGCAAAGGGTATGAGAAATTGAGGATGATCGCCGTGAGATATTTCAAGTTCCTATATATCCAACCACCATGTCTCCTAGAGAAGCATCGGATTGGGTTTCCTTCCTTCCGCATCGTAGTTACCGTGTCAGTAGGATTTCATTACCATATCTTCATTTGTTAGATGAATGTATACATGGTGGACAATTTCTACTTAGTGGAAGAACATGAGATTCTGGTCGATTCACAAAGAGGACAACTTATGTTCATGCTCTTTAAAAGGATGGAATTCTTGAAATGATGTAAAAAAACTGAATTTTTATATTTCATAAATGTCTGGACATTTTATGGTATCACTATATTATACAGGGTGTAACAAATTATTCATGGCTAAGCATGGGGATCTCGCAGTAACCTCAAGAGAAACAGAGTAGGTAAGATTATGCCAAAGTTGCACCATTTCCTGCTCAATAAAATGCTGCTTTGAAATTGGAGTTTCAATTATTTCTGCAGATATCAGGACAGAAAGGAGAATATGCAAAATTGATGTTATTCATTACTCAGTTTATTTGAAGAGATATTCCAAAATGAATGCCTTATCATCATTGCCACTTTTTCTCCTCTACTAAATGGAATTGTCAAATTGGAAATCTAACGTTTCTTCTTCGAGCGGTCATCATCCTTTTCTTTTAAAAACGGATCTGGCTTTTTTCCATTTATCGATAGTTTTTGATCTTCATGATATGGTGGTGTATCAAAATGATTCATGATCAATCGCTCAATTATCATTTTTGGTTTCGTGAATTAATAATGTGTTAGACAAAGACAAATTGATACCAGAAAAGCTGTGTTAGACAAAGATGAGTATCCTCATACCTCTTATAAACATATTTTTCATTGGAGTTGATATTTAAGTGATGTTTCGATACACCATAATATCTAGGAGATCGAAAACTATCGAAAAATGAAATATGAAATCCAGGTTCGTATTTGAAATAATGTTGATGATGGCCGCTCGAAGAAGAAACGTAGGATTTCCAATTTGACAATTCCATTTTGTAGAGAAGGAAAAGTGACATTTTTTGAAATATCTCTCCAAATGAACTAAGTAATGAATAAAGACGAATTTGCATAGTTTCCTGTTTTTCGTATATCTCCGGAATTAATTGAAATTTTCACAATTTCAAAGTTGCATTTTGTTGTGCATGAAATAGTGCAACTTTTCCCTATTTCAAGCTACTCTATATCTCTTAAAAAAATCACACTTCAACAACTTGTCATCTTTGACTGTTGATTATAATAATATGTTCATCATTTCACCCTTCCCAGAGCATAACAGGGTGTTGCCAAATAAGTGTGAAAGTCCTCGTTTATATGTATATTCATGTTCAAATATTGATATTCGTTCTAACTCGTCTTCTCTTGAGATACTGATGTATATTAGAGTTGAGTTTAATTTTTTTTTCATGATCAACCTGTAGTGTGAGCTGAAACCATCAGCTGGTCGAAATGAAGTCAAGTTGATAGTGACTGAAAACGTCTCCAAATTTCAAATTGATACTTATTGAGGTTATTGAAGTTTCAAGGCGAATCCGGGTTTTCATTGTTTCTCTCGAAAACTTAGCAGAATACAAAAGAACTCGAGGACATTGAACAAAAAAATAGGGGATAGGTACATGATGAACTTGAAGAAAAGAAAGATTTTCAATAATTCAGTTCAACAAAAACATGAAATTCAGAAGAAACAGTTGCGAACAACCATCATATTCAACAAAAATATTGATATGCATGGTAACACACTGCGACGCCACTGAAATGAATATATTGAATCTAATTACACCAAAAGAAACTGCATGATATGTCAAAAAGTCACGAGGCCCACATGTCCCCATCTCAACTTTTGATCAACTATCTACTGACATTTAATTGAAACAAATACAGGGTGGTGCAGTATTCAGAATCTTGATCACCTGGTATATGTCCCAATTGAATATCAGTAGATAGTTAATCAAAAGTTGAGATGGGGACATGTGAGCCGTTATGACCAATAATGAATAGTTTCGACAAAAAAAATTCCTAAAGTTGAAAAATGTCGATTTTCCACACCCTATATCTCTGTAATCATTTCCGCTAGACCCCAAGTGTGATACATCAATGAAATCAGCTCTCTAGAGAGAATCTAAGAATGCAATAAAATACAGGGTGTTCCATTTAAAATAACAAAGTTGTTGCTACTTTTCGATAGAAGCGGCAACGCCGCAGAGCTGAAAATATTTTAGATCGATAGACCAAGAGCAACTACGTGGGTAACCAGAATTTCAGAATGATCCTATGTCCCGTTCTCCATAAACGTCTAACGTACCATCGACCGTGAGTTACCCTGTATATGACTTGTATTTCTGATACCAAAAGGAATTCGTGCATGGAAACGATTTATCACACATAAATAATTTCATTGTTTGGATTGCCTGATTGAAGTGTTCTTCATAGTTCTTTCATTTTGTGATGAACTATGTACTCATATTTGCTCGATGTATATAGTTATATCACACTCACGTATTGCAATGGTGAGAAATAATCGTGAATTCGTCCGCCCTGTATTGGGGCATTATTATATTATTGAAATATTCATGAAACTGCTTTCAAAATAATCAACTTTTTTAATGAACCGATACCGCTTTCCAACATTTTTCCAAAGTCATCTCTGTGATGTGCCATAAGATTTTTCTGTTTAAAATTCAGCGCATAATATGAATAAATTTCTCACAAGGATAGCGCATTTCCTTTAGAGGCCGCTGAAAAGAATCTGAGTGCTATACATCTTTGCATCACATGATGGTTAAGACTGCAAGGGAAGGGTTGTGAGTGGTCTTTGGGGGGTGTAAAGGGTGAGGTGTACTTGGAGTGGAAAATGTGATTTCTTCATCTCTCGCTCCGGCGCAGAAAAAAGTTACCGTAGGACCTGAGAAGTTTACAACAGAATAAGATCTACACTGTTAAACATTTTCTTCGGAAGGAATTCATCACATTGCTTTTTATTTAAAAAAAAAAAAAAAAAACATGGATTTTTTCAATCGAGCTACAGATCAATTTGATCAGGGTGACGTAATGTTGACATTTCAGATATCATATTGATACTATAATGGATGAAACTTCCACTTCTCCACCACAAGTGCAAGTTCTACCAAACAACAAAATAATTTATGGTAAAAAATTGTTCATTGTGACTAGTAGAAGAAACTGTATATGGGACAATTGCACAAAATACTTATTGAGTAAAATGAGAATCCTGGTACCTGCTACTTGGTATAATAAAAAAAAATACAAGAAACTAGGTACACACACCAGGGAATTCATCGAGTATTAGTATACTCGTCGATACGAAATAAACTATCGATAATATACTGTACACTGACTGTGATTGAATAGTTTCACAATAATAAATGAACAATGTGCTTGTGAGCAATACTTAGTGTATGTGTTATGAGTGGAGTGTTTATTTGTGAAGAGTAAAATGTTATTTGTTTAAAGTATACTGTGTTTACTTATATCAAGTCCATATCAAAAGTGCACTTCGCGTATATCTTGGGCGTTATTTATTTTATTAGAAGGGCATTTTCAAATCACCATTCCCTTGCTTGCCAAGAATCAGTTGAATTGGTGATTCAAATGAATGAAGCAAAGCAATAATGCTCACCTGATAAAAATGTCACTTCCAAAAAATACGCAGTGCACTTCTAACAGAAACACAGTATACTTCTAGCACATGACTTTTCACCTACCTATCCCAATTAAATACCTAGTACACTCATAACACAATCATTAGGAATTTCTGAACAGTATACTGTTCATTCATTATGATGAAACTGTTGAATTGATGTTAGTGTATAGTTTATTACCGATAAGTGGACAATTGCTCGTCTCAAAAACTGTTCATTCCTGACAAAACGACTGGAATACTTATATCCCATGTCCACTGTAACCAAACTAGTTTACATGGTATTTTTCAATAATGACAAGTACCCCGGTTTGTAAAATTCTGTAATATTTGTAAATCGCTACTTCGAAGTTGGGAACCAACTCCTCGGAAGTCGAAACTTATGCGGGGATTATTAAATCAGGGGTTCCTCAGGGATCAATGCTTGGCCCGATTTTATTTTTATTATATCTAAATGATCTAGCTTACTTGAACATTACAGGAAAATTCACACTATTTGCAGACGACACCACTCTTATATGGCATGGAAAAAATATAGCTACGCTCAAAGAAGTCATTTCACACGACTTAAACGAGGTCAAATCTTGGTGCAATTCAAACTATCTCTGTTTCAACACCAACAACACGAATATCATAACTTTCAAGTTCAAATTTGACAATCTCACTCACAAATTCTTGGGTTTGCACATTGACAACAAATTGAGATTTGATGAACATATTTTGTCACTGAGGAAAAAGCTATAGCGTCAGGTTGCTAAGCTGTCAGAATTGTGTAAAATGAGCTCGTAGAATCTCATATTAGATATGGTATATCTTTCTGGGGCTTTTGTAGTCAATATACACTGTCCACGGTATTTGTTCTATAGAAAAGAGCAATGAGATACCTTCGTAAAACTAGATCTAGCGACCATTGTAGACCTCTTTCCATTCATTGTAAAATTCCTATTTATATAGGAAACTCTTTGTTTGATTCACAAAAATGAAAGGAATAAAAATGATATTAAACTGATATTAAACTGCCAATACCAAAGACAACGCTTACCAAAATTTCTGTGATTGATGAAAGCAGACAAATTTATAATCATTTGCCACAGCATTTTAAAGCTATCAAGAGTTTGAAAAAATTCAGAAAAAGTGTTGCGGATTTTCTCTTACAGATCTATATGCTCTTACCAAGAACATATTATCACCTACAGGAATATTACGATAAGAGATTCTAGGTTGCAATTCTGTCATAAGTTTCATTCTGATATATATGCATATATTTCAAACATGGTGAAAGGGATATTGAGGGGAAATGTTGTAAGCAACAGAGAAGAAAATAGTGGACAAAACCCTCATAAAAAGATAACCGTAGACACGTGTATATATTTCGGTATATCAGCAAGATTATTATGATGTTATTACTTTTTCGTAATGGTGTGTGTTCAAATTTACATTATGTACCTATTTGTATTTTTTCGTATGTTTTAACAATGTTGACTTCATTTGCTTTTATATATATGTATACATATTATTATATTACTTCCTACTGGACACAGTGGAAATCCACAAGAATAATTTTATACCATGTTTTGTCAATAAGGAATAGTATTCTTGGACAATAAAGCACAGTATTGATTGATTGATTGATTGATAGGAAGAGCGCGGGACCTATTGCTTATTTATTAGAATCTAAAGGCGGATTTAGCGAATGCACAAGCACAATGTGTAACTTTAATGTGTAATGCATAAAAGTTAAAAATTGTGAACTTCAGGGTTATGTATTATGAGATGTTATGCACTGTGCACTAGAACTTTTGAGTTGGATAAATCATCTCATATGGACTACAGTGTTTAACTTTTAGGAATTTTACATTAAAATTACAGTTATGAAATAAATTGTGTTTGTGCGCCCGCTAAATCCGCCTTAAACCGTGCCAGAATTCTCATTCTCTCCAGTATATCAGTACTTTGAGCAGTTGTCCAGATAAGCTTCTCACTTGACACTTCTCAATCTTCATGGTGCGAACATATCAGTAGGTATCTATATTTTAATTCACAATTTGTTTTTTACTGTGTATTGACGAATAAAAACGATCTGGTCAACTGTAGCAGCTCGCTGATGTATTTAGTGTCTTCTGGAGCTTTTAATCATATCTCCTCGAATAATTCAGTGAATGCAGTATGAATGGGTTACAAGGTTCTCTGTGGAAGGGAATCTCTAACAAGATGCCAAAGAAAGGATTGATTCGCGCACATTCATTCCGCGAGCGCCTAGAGACTTATACAGGAAATATTACACAAAGTCGGATTCGAGGTATTGTTTGGGTTTTTTCAGGTGGTTTTCTTACGATTCAATCACTTTATCTGAAGGGATGAGTTAGAGAAAGTGAAACAATTGTGCACTTTGTGATGAAAGCATGACATTTTTCTCAGATGTTTCTTATAGAACATTGTGAATATTACCAATGAGGCAATACATTATCACTGAAACTACAAGAGTGCTTCTTTGAGGTGTGAGTCGAATTCGAATTTTACAGGATAAGACAAAATGGACATACCGTAAAAATCGAAAATTCATGTTTTATGCGAACGAATAAAAAAAATCATGTGATTCTTGAGAATATACTTAAATCCAATTACCCGACTTCATTCAGTTTTGATCTGATGCGGATGCTATTATGTTTGTTCAATCATTTCATCATGAGGAGAATGAGTTGAAAGTTGTGCATTTTGTCATGAAAGCATGACAATTTTTACAGATGCTTCTTATAAAACATTGTGAATATATTACCAATGAGGAAATAACCAATCGAAAATATTATCACCGAAGAATACAGGGGTGGTTCTATATTATTAATCAACTTATTTGACGATTTCGTTTTACTCGAAGTTTGCGGTATTGATTATTCAAAATATGTTTTCAGGACAAACATTGAAGTGACGGATGCATATTACACGGAAAAAAAGAAATTGTTGAATCAAGCAAAATTTAATTGAATGGATCGAATAAAAGTGTCATATATGCACGACAAAATATAATCTTGAAATGAGTAAATCTATATCTTGTTTTAGAGCGAATTTGAATCAAGTAAATATGTCTTGCATTAACTCTGGATCCTCTTCAATCAAGCACATTCATGAATTGTTCATGAAGAGATATTGAATTGGATCAAACAATCATTTTGTTTGATTCAAAATAACAACATATTGCCTCAATCGCATATTTGGTTGATTCAACGAAATATTTGGTTGATTCAACGAAATATTTGGTTGATTCAAAGAAATATTTGGTTGATTGAATGAAATATTTGTTCGATTCAATGAAATATTTGGTTAATTCAATGAAATATTTTGTTGATTCAAGAGGAACTATATATCCATTCGACAAATTATTTTGGTGAACAAAATTCAATATTCGGGAATTTTCTGAAATTTCACATCAATAGAATAAACAAAACTAGGAAATAAGTCGACTTCTAGCATAGATCTTCAGTCTTTACTTCTCCTCAGCTGATGGAAAACTATTTCGGATTTCTAATCATCCTTCGTTCGATTCATCCAGCTGATAGTTCAAACACGAAGAATCAGGCTTCACGTATATAATGAATTCGAGGCAGGCATAGACGAGGCGAAATGATCGCCATCTAGAGGCGGAAATTCAAGTTGATGTAGAATGAACAAAATATTTCATTGATATTACATATTTCGTTGCTCTATTCAAGCAAATGATCCGTTCGAAACAAGTTCATTGCTACATCGGAATAAGAAAACTTGTATGTTGTTTCAAAGATATATTCCCATCAAAATGATCATTATTTGATCAAATCAACAAAATGTTTATAGTTGAATCAACATCGACATCATCTTGGATCAACATAAATTGTTTTTGATAAAACCATATATTTTGTTGATGGAATTGATATTATACTGTTGATTCAATTAGACTACATTCTTGATTTGAACAAGCTACTTCCATGAAATGATCATGTATCTGGTTGATTCAACAAAAAAATTGCTCAGTCCAACAAAAATAATTCAAGCATAAATAATTTGTTAATGCAACAAATCCTTTTTCACGCCATGAAATGGTGTTTTTTAAGGAAGAATCAATATTTCGAAATCAAAATGTAGCACTTGAACTACTTACTATCAGAGCAGAAAAAATAATTAAAAAAGTCTCAGCCGTTCATATGTTATTTAGTATTTCTCTGCGCTGAGGAAAATTGACGAAAGTTTCTGTTACCATTTTAAGAATTCCTATCTCCATTATATATTCTTGAGCAGTAGCAGCACATTGAAATTCACTGGCAGCGATAAAGATTTTGCTGGAGGTGAATTTTCTGTCACAAAATGGGCAGTATAGCATGTTTCGTTAAATTTCCAGTTGAATAACTAATCATGAACAGTTATTGCTAGGATTGATGGAATTTAAAGGTGTGTGGTAAAGGTATTTTGACTCAAAAATTTTACGATTCCAGCTTCAACATTTCCGCATTTTTGTTCCAATGGGAATTTTCAATAATAATTCATGAGAAGTGAGAAGAAAAATTTCACCTTTCTCCATAACAACTATCCTGGAAGACAAATGAATTAGTATCCAGCGAGAAGATCATGCGACTATCAGTAAGCCCACCAACCTCTATTAGCAACATGTTCCACATACGATTCTAACATTGCCCTACTCCAATTAATAGATGCCCCTCACTAGCAGTAGCAAAGTCATCAGATACAACAGAAACCATTTCCTAGTAGCCATAAGATGTATTTGCTAGCGGCAGCAAAGCTCGTCAATTTCTAGTACTCCCCCCCTTTCTAATCACAGGTGATAACTCGCTTGTCCCCTATGTTATTGGTGTTTCTCGTTGGGGCAATTCAATTCCTGCCTGAAGTCCATAAAAAGATGTCTTCAGTGTGTGAACGTGCATCTCCCTGTAGGAGAAAAAGACGTGTAATGAATGCGGTGCCGACTTGAGACTAAGCAAGACCATTGATTCCACGGCAGGCGGAAGGAAGGGAGCCAACGGAGATCAATACAAACTGCGAAAGCCTCGTGGTGGTGTGAGGCAGGTTAGGGAGCCGAATAAGTCTGTCCCTGCCCTTCTTACTTTGCTGCACTCTATTGCAGTCTTGCGATGCCCCTTGGATTCTCTTGCCAGGAGGCGAAATCAGTTGGCACGAAGGGACTCCGGATAATTCGGAGTCAAGTGATTAACTGCGATGATTCAGAGAGAAAAACATGTCAGTCGGCTAAGCAGCCTTCGGGAGCAGTCAGCGGATGGATCTAGACCAAGACGAACGATCATGTTTACATGAGCAGATTCCCTTCCTCGTATAGTAATCGATTCGAAATTTGAATCACGTAAATATTTACTATACAGGGTGTCTGTAGAAGGTTGGGGCATGGCTCGGCTGTGGACTCCTGGGATCAAAACAAGTTGATTTAGGCCAACTTACCTATATTCAAAATCGTCTCGTTGAATTGGTATAAGGCATTGAAGTTTTTTTGGAAAAAATAATTTTGATCATGAAAAGAGTAGGCTGAGATCGTTTTTCATAATTTTTGGCATAGCATGTTCTGTGACTGTAAGCCACGTTTTGAGATGTTTTTGATCATCATCAGTGACCTGCAAGTGTCTCAAACAACCATGTTGCCGTACAAATTTGGTGATAACTTTTCAGAGGTTAGACTGGAAAGTTCAATTGACATATCTATAAACTAGTTCAAATACCGTTGAATCGCATCAAAGCGATTCAATTTTTCTATCTTTTATCTCATCTTTTTATCTCTTGGAGCGCACGAAAGGATATCCCTATATAGAGAGTTGAAGTAATCACTGTACGTAGACCTTCACGTAGACGTTAACGTACGAAAATCAACTTCATTTCTACATTCACGTTAACGTTCATAGCAACACTTCAAATCTCTAATGTTAGGAGAATATCTTGGGTATAGGAAGGATTTAGGGAGAGAAGGTATTGGAATTCGACATATTTCGAATGTTGTTCCAATGATGTCAAAGAATCAGTGAATGTCTTATCATTCCGAATGAAACGTATTTAACATATTTTCCATAAACATGATGTTTTCAGTCTACCCATGTACCGAGATAGGTGTGGAGTATTTGCGTTTTCAGTTCCAACCATAGGCATTCCCAAACAATTCCTAATCAGAAATCTTCATCATCCTGTATTTCAAACATAAAGGAAAAATGGGCATGTTAAGTTCATACGACATTTCTTATGCCTATTCCTATTGCATTTTTGTTTCAATATTGATGTTCCATCACCTCGTTCATAAAATTCAGTGACTATCATCATCAGTATTTCTCCTGAATTTCTAGTTCGCATCATACTTTCACCACCTTTTTTAGATTAAGGATCGTGGAGGAAGAGTATCAGTCCAATCGGAGAATTTTAATGATTCAAATCCAGTGCTGACGCTGAAACTATGTAATCCTCTAATTCGAAGCTCGTCTTTAGATAATACCCTTTCATTCGGAGCTCCTCATTGGCTCCTAATGAAGAAAAAGACAAAGCTCGCGTACAGTACAAACAGAAACTATAAAAAGGCCTCGAGATTTCCCTACAAACGAGAGTTTATGAGCTCTTAAGGTATATAGATTGTCAGTAGTGAAATAAAAGAACTAAAGCAAGAGGTTAAAGACATCAGAGAAGAGAATATCAAATTAAGAGAAGATATTGTAAAGCTCGAAAGAAGGTCGAAAAAATTCAACATCATTGTGCATGGTATCAAGGAAGATAAAGAAGAGAATATATTATCAGTCGCCAATAATATCATAAAAAATAAATTGGGAGTTGAACTGGAATCAACTAGCATCCGTGATATATTTCGTATTGGTCAACAAAATCTCCCACGTAAAATTAGACCAATCTCCATAGAACTAGCCCAATACAGCTTGAAAAATGAAATATTGAAGAATAGTTTCAAACTAGGAGGCACTGGTTATTATATAACCCACGATCTGACACCTTGCGATCTCCAGAAACAAAAAATCCTGTTAGATTACCAAAAAATTGCCCGAGAATCAGGTTTGAGGACTAAATTGAAGAAAGGGAAACTATTGGTGGATGGCAAAGAATACTCCACAGAAGATATCGCAAGTGACCCACTTGGTATACTAGATCCACCTTCAAACGTCACACCAGAATCAAAGACCAATCAAGGAAAGGACGAAACTGCTCTAACAAGACTCCAATCAAGACGCCTGAGAGACGACCAACCATCCGACCTGAGATCAAAGAAGCAGCCTAACAGGGAATAGTTTGGCTCTGGCGAATAAAATGAAATCGGAAGCCTCAAGATGAAACTCTAAATATGTTCAGCTAGTGTATTCGTATGTAAACTATAAAAATATTAGTACTCGCCTTTTTATTGCTGAAAAAATCTGAATACTAATGTCCTCAGATAAGTGCTACCTACTTATATTACTTCGTACTCTTTTTCTTCATTTTTGTAGGATAAAACGTCCAACAATATCACTGTAATACATATTACTGTATACAGAGTGCTATCTCTGCCACTAACCAAGGAATCCCAATTTAATTTCACAGTCGTACACACTTTCTTTTTCTCTTCTTATTCAAAAACTTATAGAATAATCAACATTAAGATACACAGCGAGAAATGGATGAATTCATAAGAAATTTTGATGAACAGGTGTTCGACACAAAAGAAATAGATGGAATAAACAAATGGAATGAATTAATTGAAACAAAGAAAATGTATGGTTCATTCTCGATCTGTCACATAAATATAAGAAGTATTCAAAAGCAATTCGAAGAATTCGAGGTTTTTATTTCTCAGGTTCAGCATCCACTTAGTTGTATCGTTTTGACTGAGACTTGGAAAATAACAAAAAAGGAAATGTTTAACATTCAAGGCTACGAGCTCATTCATACTGAAGACAGATTAAACCAAAATGATGGAGTAATGGTCTATATAAGAAATGGATTATTACTTCATTACGATAATATAAAAATTGACTCTTCAAATGGGCTGAATATCAAAATTCAACTACATGAAATGAAAATTAACATAATCGCACTTTATAGATCACCATCCACAAATAAAACTAATTTCGCAGAGTGTCTCTATAGTTTACTACAAAGCTACGATTATGCCGCCTTTGACTATGTATTTTTGATAGGGGATTTAAATTATAACATCCTGGAAAATGATGATGAAACAGACCATTATATTAATATAATTCTCGAAAATGGTTTCATATCACTGATTAATAAAATAACTAGACCCTCTACCAATTCCTGTTTGGACCACATCTTAGTACGAGGTAGAAATAAAGATTATGAAACCCATATGTTATCTGCCGTAGTGAAGACTTTGATAACTGATCACTACCCAATAGTAGCATCATTGAAAGATGCTGTTCTACCGACAGACAACAATGAGAATACTTATTATGAAAAAATTAATCAAGAAAAGATACTGGAATTAATGCGACAAGAGACATGGCAAGACATATTGAGTTGCGAAAATGGTGAGACGGCTTCTGTATTATTCCTAAATAAATTCAATAAGATAGTGCACATATCAACTGAAAGAATTAGCAGCAAAGGCGTTAAAAAGAAGAAACCCTGGATAACTCGAGGTTTAATCATATCCACCAAACGAAGAGATTATTTATATCATAGGTATAAAAACAACCTTCAAAATCCCATAATCAAACAGGAATATCTAGATTTCAGAAACTATTTGAATAAACTGCTCAAGAAAACTAAATATAACTACTACAAAAATGAAATTGAAAAAAATCAGGGTTCGTCTAAAAACATTTGGAAAGTAATTAACGAATTCACAAATGAAACATCAAAAAGTAAAGACAGTATAAAAAAGCTTGTTTTAGACAATGGGTTAGAAATAACAGATAAAAGAGAGATAGCAGAAACCATAAACAGTTTCTTCGCAAACATAGGAACAGCACTTGCTTCAAAAATAGATAGACAAGATGAGAAACAAAACCATCACCAAGATGATAACAATAATTATTTAAAATCAATGTTTCTGAAACCAACCAGTAAAAACGAGATCATAAATGTCTGCTCATCCCTGAAAAATAATAAATCTCCTGGACCTGGCGGTATCCGAAACGAAATCATCAAGCTTGTGGCTGCTCATATTTCAGAGCCACTGAGTCATGTTTTCAATCTATGCATGAGGAAAGGAATTGTACCGACAAATTTCAAATTGGCTGAAATAAAGCCTGTTCTCAAGGGAGGAGATAGGACGAAAATGACAAATTATAGACCGATCTCACTGACATCTTCATTTTCTAAAATTTTCGAAAAACTGATAAAAGTACGTCTTATTGAGTACATGAATGAACATAACATACTTTCTGAAAAACAATTTGGATTCCGGGAGGATCTTAGTACACAAGATGCTATAGCAAAAGTAACTTCAGTTGTTTATAAAGCTATTGACAATAAAAGACCATGCCTAGGAATTTTTGTGGATCTGGCTAAGGCCTTTGACACGGTGTGTCACAAGATCTTACTAGATAAACTAGAACACATCGGCATAAGGGGTGTTGCCCTAGAATTATTCAAAAATTTTTTAATGAATAGAAGACAAAAAGTGAGATTGAATGATATTGTCAGTTCCGAAGAAGCAGTCAGTTGTGGTGTTCCACAGGGAACAGTTCTTGGACCAATTCTCTTTCTCATCTACCTGAATGGATTACTATCTCTGGAATCCCAAGGAAACATCATTTCCTTCGCAGACGATACAATGATTCTATATGAATCACATTCGTGGAACTCAGTGAGAGATATTGCTCAGAATGATATGCTGAAAATTACCGAGTGGTTCTCTGCAAACTTGTTGACTGTAAACATTGACAAAACGAAGATACTACCGTTCGGATCGTATAAAAAATATCTGCCAGAGTTTGAATCAATAAAAATTGGAAATCAAGACGTGAAACTATGCAATTCAACCAAATATCTAGGGATATTCATAGATTCATTTCTCAAATGGGATATCCATCTTGAAAATCTAAAAAAAAAACTAAGATCATTACTTTACAAATTTCACCAGTGTCGTCAAATACTTACTCTAAAGGAACTCAAAACAATTTATTACTCTCTAGTAGAATCACAACTCAACTACTGCATAATTGGTTGGGGAGGCGTTGGTAAAACACTTCTTAAGCAGCTAGAGATTGTTCAGAAAAGAATAATCAAAATAATGTCTTTCAAGCCAAAGCAATATTCGACAGAACTTCTCTTCACGGAAATGAACATTTTAGACATAAGACAACTCTTCGCAAAATCAGTTATATTGTTCACGTTTCATAATAAAATTTATTTACAAAATGTGCAGCACATGTACCCCACCCGTGGAAGAGTAGCACTGAATGTTACTATTCCTAGAGTAAACAAATCTATTGCTCAGAAGTCATTATTCTACATCGCTCCGAAAATTCACAATAGCTTACCAGGATATATAAAAACAATAAATAATATAAGACTCCTCAAAAAAAAGGTCAAAACGTGGATGCTAAATCTGGGAAGGCTTTTTTTTCATCAAATAATCGATCAATTTTGAATAATAATGGAATAGGAAAAAATGTATCATTATATAGGTGCACATCACGGATAATTTCATTTTTGATTTTATTAGATGTGAGATAGTATAAGTTAGTTAATTATATATACCAATTTTTCTTTTTTATTTCTTCATCAACTGTGTACCAATGTTAATTACAGTATATGTGAATCTTCGCCAATCCATAGACAGGTTCTTGAAGAACCTACATGGAAAAGCATTTGCAATAATATCGCATGTTTTACACAAATGTACTTACCCTTGTTATTGTTGCAAATAAATTTATTTATATTTATATAGTTATCAACCATTCATCCCTTTCATACCACGAGTGAACTAAAAAGAAAAATCGGAATTGGAATTTCATTGTATTTTCCTTTTGGAAATATTCTCGTATTTTCATTAGAGAAAGTGAAAATAGCGATCCTGACCTGACTGAACTCCAACGAACCCCCATCATGGAGAACTGTTTTAGTGTATTTACTCCTATATTCTTCGTTAGAAAAATCAATCAAATAAAAATGAGTAAATTGATGACCATGGTTCAACTCGAGATCGTGTTCCTTTTACAAAAATTCTGATATTTCCATGAATCGAAGAAATGTTCAAAATAGATGGTGTTTTGTAACAGAGTACGGAATGACTTGGACGAAATCTCTACTTTATCTACTTCAGAATAATATCTTCAACTTCAGATCACCAAACCATTTGGTTCTTCTGATATAATATAAGTAGTACAGTATTTTTTTCCAAATCAGAATGGCATTTGAATTTCATCCCGATACATCTATAAATATACGTCAGAAGACTAGTCAATATCACATTAGTTCTTGAACATCACACTATAGCAAAATTTTGTCAGTGAGTGCTCAATATGATGAATCTGATGAATCTGCACCTATAACGTATTCTGGTTAGTGAACTTTCAACTATCAATTATTTATTCAGAAGGTTGAAATCATCGTCATAAATGATCATTATTTTTACATCTCTTGGAGCCCACGAAAGGAAATTCCTATAATGTTCGAGGAACATCGTGAGTATATGGGGAGAGTTGAGTTGGATTTTATTTTGAACTTTTGGAGGTTATAAGTTCTTGGGAAAACTTTCATTGGCAAAAAAGTCCAAAGCTTTGCCGTTCTATAGACGATAAGTACATTATTATACTAAGTTTCGCCAATGATGAGAATTGAACATCGTATATAGTGTCTTCTTTTGTTTTAGTTGATACAGAAACAAAGTCAAAATATATTAATTGAAAAAAGTTGTTCACTCTAAATGGGAATTAGTTATACAGTACCATTAAATTGTTGGTACTCCCTAATAAGAAAAGCTCCTTATTATATACTATTAACGAAACCACCAAGTTTCATAGGAATTTAGAAAAAGACTTTAGAAGTTTAGAGTAATTATTAAAGAACGATTTTTCATGTAAACATCGATACACTGTATCCTGAAAGCGTATTCAGAAAAATATCGTATAGTGTCTTCTTTTGTTCTTGTTGATTCAGAAATAAAGTCAAATTATAATAATCGAAAAAAGTCGAATACACTATAATTGGGAGTTAGTCATGAAGTAACATTAAATTGTTCGTACTCCCAAATAAGAAAAGTTCCTTATTACTATTAACGAAACCGCACCAAGTTTTTTAGGAACTTGAAAAAAGACTCGAGTAATTATTGAAGAAAACGATT